TTAGTTTGTGAAAGAATAAATTAAGAAGAGATAATGTAATGATCCAAGTCTCATGCACTATCCACTTTGGGAGGATATCTTCTCTCTAACCATCTTACGGTTTTCTATCGCATCCTCAGAATTTAAACCCCAAGACATCATAAGAGACTTAAAACCCTCGATTTTTATAATGATCCAAGTATCATGCTCAGCCTTTCTCTTATGTACTGTTCGTCATGGGAGAGTTTAAACCCATTTTACCCTTACGGATTCTTATCACATGCACAATATTTGAACTCAAGACATTTGCTTTCAACTTAAGTATCTCATAAGGTAGGTGTATTGAATTCGATAGATGCGATAAAAATTTGTGAGAGATAAAATGAGTTTCGACTTTCTCATGCAGAACGGTATATAAGTTAACAATTTGATTGCAAAGACTAATCGTTACATATAAAAACACAATGCGCATGGTTTTCTTAATAATTATTTATATTTGATTATCTTATGAGTATGTCTTAGGTACTAACAAAAGGTGGGTGTGCAAAAAGTGGGGTCAGTAGCCGGCCCATGAGATCACCCTTAACTTCTTAATTGCGCCGTCATGGGATCATGATTAAGAAAATGATATGTTTAAAAATTATTCAACTACTAAAAAATTTGAAAATATCTAATGTTGTGGTGTAATAGCTATGGATAAAAAGTCATTCGTCCATACTTCAACCTAATCATCCCCAACTTTGATGTCATGGGGTGGCGATGTTGCTATTTTTCTTTCTCTATATAATTCATTTCAACCTAATCATCCCCTCTCTCTCTCTCTCTCTCTCTCCATTTTTTTGACTATTTTTTAATTAATTTTTTGATATTTTAACACAAATTCTATGAAATGAAAAGATACCAACAAAGAACACTTTTAAAGACATAAATTTTGAAATAACGTCTTCTCATTTACTCTCTGTTTGGTTCAATTAGAAAAGTAAATTAAAATTTAAATCAACATTAACAATTAATTTTAACCATATATTTTATGGGATTCACAACATTTCAAGCACATATTTCATCAACTTTAATAAAAATTTATTAAAAATATGATTTTTATTTAAACCAAACAAGGACTTAATAACAAGAGTTAATGTATTAAAATGTCGAAAAAGTTAGTAATAGACACTCAAAAAGTTAAGTTGCAACAACGATCTCAATTCAAGCATTAGTAGGAAATGAAATCTGTTGCTTTGTTCGATTGTCTCCATACTAAAATTTTAACATGTCAAGGCATATGGTCTTGTTAGTAATCGCTGCAATTACCCGGTTGAAATGATGTCTCAAAAGTGTTGTCATCTATGGTGTATTGGGTCACAAGAGTTGATCTAGGTCAATGAGACAATCAAATAAGCAACCAAATAGGGAAAATAAATTGAGACCTGCTACAAAACTCGCTACAAAATTCGGAATTAAATCTCGAGTTTAAACCTAGGGTCGAGGTGGCAACAATCAAATAAGCAGCCAAATAGGGAAAATAAATTGAGACCTGCTACAAAACTCGCTACAAAATTCGGAATTAAATCTCGAGTTTAAACCTAGGGTCGAGGTGGCAACAATCAAATAAGCAGCCAAATAGGGAAAATAAATTGAGACCTGCAACAAAACCCGGGATTAAATCCCAGGTTTAAATCTAGGGCCGAGGGCCCTTGATCTTGAATTTCATCGGGCCCACAGCATAACAATCAAGGGCCGAGGTGTTGGCTGTAAACAGGGCCTATCATTAGCCATGTTGAATGGCAAAACCCAAATAAATTTCAACTCTCACAAAGATACGTATGACAACATAGGTAGCAAAATTTTGAAAATTATAATAAACAAAACATGCCCGAATAATTAAAATATGTATTTGTGGATATATAAACACATCAACACGAGTATAACATGGTTACCAAGTTTAAGTCTAAATGATGAAAGAAAGAGAAAGCGTTTGTTAAAATTAATCAATCGGGTATCATGTTTAGTTCAAGATACTAAACACTGAAATATTTTAATTTCAATAAATATAGGTCTATCAATCAAGCTAGGGTGCTGGGCATCATAAAATATATGCAATTTAAAACAATTAAATTGGGCCTTTAAAGTTCTGCAGTCCAACATCTTTGCATATCTGAATAGTATATTTAAAAAAAATTAGTCAACATAAGTAATAAATGAATAAAAATATTTAAAGAGAAAATATATATTACTTGCAAGTCGCAAGAGAATCTGCATGTTTAATGGATTTCACAATTTTTATCGACTTTTAACTATACTTTATTATATTAACTTTTATAAAAAAATTTGTCAAACGACCCTTCACTAAAAAATTGACACTTCAATACATCAATTAGGGTCGCTAAAATGAAATGATGTCACATAAATATATTACGAGTGACATCACATTTGAGATGACGCCCGTTACTTATCCATTTGAACTGATATAGTGAGATATAAGATTTTTAGAAGAGAAACAATGAAGTGAAAAATAATGAGGATAAGGGATCTCGATTTATCGTGTAGAGTAGTATCATATTCACAAGGTTAATTAATTAGAACCATATTAGTTGGGCATTCCTTTAAAATCCTACTTAAAACTCTGAATTTTTTAGCTTTGTGTAAAAAAAAAAAAAAAAAAACACTAAATAATAAGGTTTAGAGCATAGATTCTTAGCTCCAATAGACCATACTGAGATCCACAAAACCTCCAACATCCAACATTAAGAGGAGATATTTATTTTCGGTAACTAATTCTAGGTTATCGTGGAGTGTACTTTTAGCCCCCATTTGATTCTTATCAAATTAAATTCAATTTTTCGCTTTCCTATTTTTAACTACATAATTTTTTATAAAATAATATTATACGTAAATCGAAAATATTCCTTCTTTTTCAACCACTATTTTTCAAAAAAAAAAAAAACACCATTCTATCCATTTTCATTTTAAAAAAATGGGGGCTAAACGAGAGCTTAGTCTGGCATTCTTTGAATTGAATTGCACTATAAAAAATAATTTTATAATAAGTCAATGGCCGATTCTATTGTGTGAATAATACAATAGTAATTGGTTTACATGTGATGGACTTAATGGGTTTTGTCGGCTAATTTGTGTAGATGATTATTCTTGAATAATCCAAACTTTAACATGGATTGGAACAATTACGTCTTCCCAGGATTGTACAATAAAAAGAATCTTAGTGCATGTTTGGCCCAAAATCAATTTTTTACCCTTATTTCACTATTTCACAGGTGAGACCCACTTTTCTCTCTAGCGATCAAAAAATTAATTTTCATAATCACTACCGAACAAACCCTTAATGACTTGTTACTAATTAGTTGAATGTAGGGATGTCACGAGTCGAGCTAAAAATCGCGAGCCCGAGTTGTTTTTGCTCAAACTGAGCCGAGCAAAAGCTTGATCAAAAAATCGAGGCTCAACCTAAGCCTCAGCTTGAACCTTACTGAGTTGAGCCGAGTCTACTCGATTTTTTTTTTCATTGCAGTTGACTTGTTGCCTTCTTTGTAAAAGGCAGCAGCCAACTGCCTTTTATATTATTTATTTATTAAAAAATTTCGAGCCAGTCCGACACCCCAAGATGGGGCTTGGTTAAACCAAGACTCGAGCCGGGCCACTCGAACTTTTTACGGGCTAGGCCACGGGCGACTCGAGCCCATGAGCCATTTTGCCATCACAAGTTGAATGCGATATAAAACTATTGAAATATAAATTTGAATAATACTACAAAAATGCATTATTCTTGTAGCTACAGAGCACTGAATGAGATGGCATTAAGGGATCAATCACAAAAAATTTACGTAAAGATCACATGTTCTTGAAAGTGAGAAAACATATTGAGTGAACCTCTACCTTGCTGGAGATCAGTTTTGTTTATGGAACATAGTGTTCTACCTGGTATGACTCAACCGAAAAGTTCCCACGTAAAACTCTAAAAATAGAACCGATGGTTTTATGGGTAAAATACGAAATTGGATTGGATTATAGGTTTGTGTTACATTTTTCTGTCACAAGTATATGATATCGAACAAGTAATTTAATGGATCTTTGAGTTCGAATTATCGTTCTCACGAGAACTATACTTTAATACTTAATCAAATACTTCTAACTCCTATTTGATGAAACAAACAAACAATTGCGGTTTACAATGATTTTTGATCTAACTACTTAAACTTAGCAGATGCACACGAAGATTGACGTAGAATTCAAATATAAAATGGATATTAGGATAGAACAATTTCATTTATTAATAACTTTCCGGTCTTAATTCAAGATACATAACCTAATATAGTATCCGATCTAATTCTTCTATTGTATTCAAGTTATCTCTAAATAGGTTTCATTGAACCTATTTAACTAATTCAATTACTTATCTCTATGTGTATCAAGCTTAGTTAAACGAAATATTAGTTCTAAGAATTTATCTAAGACCGTAGTAATTAATATAGCTATCTCTACTCGTTATACTAATTTACTGAATTTTACTAAATGATCTAAATCTCAAGCTCATCTCTCGATTTGTAAAAGATTCACAAAATCATCAAATTAGTGATCAAGTAATTAAATGATTAAACTAGCAAAATCAACAAATATAAGATAATGAACAAGAATCTTGAATAAAAAAAATAAAAATAAAGGATTCGAAATAGATTAAACTCATAATGGAAAAAGAAAAACAAGGGGTTCTTATTGAATACATCACTGAATTTTAAATATAAATGTAGAAAAAGAGATTAATCTTGCACCAAAATCTTCGTCCTCTTCCAATCAATGCTTCAAAACGTGAATTTCTTGATATTTTCCTCTCTTGCATTGCGTTCTTTAATCTCTATCTCTCAATGTGTGGAATCCCATCAAAAGTGTCAAAACTTACATTTATACTCCTCACATTTGTGTCGAATGTAGGATTCTTATGGGCTTCAAAATGAGCCAGACGCCGTGGCTCTACAACTCTATCTCCATCGATTTTTGGTGGCCTCAGTGCCACAAGAATAGTGCCGCAGTGCCACACCTCTGTCATGGTAGCTCGTAGGTGCTACAATTTTGGCGCTGTGGTGCCAATAGTCCTTTCTCTTCATGGTTAGACTCTTTTGCCCTTTTTTCTATCTTGTTTTCTCTATCCTTGCCAATAGCCTTTTTATCATATCTTTCATTGTTTTTCATCATCCCACTACTTCTACAAAACAATACTAATAAACACATTAAAGACGAACACTACTCGTAAAATCTAATTCACAATCAAGTTAAAAATGGAATATAACTCTTGCGTAAAACACATTCATCAAATAACCCCAAATTTAATAGTTTGCTATTCCTCGAGCAAACACAAGAAAAATGAAAATAACTAAGAACACAGACAAAGATTCACTATTGAGAACATTATATCACATTCATGAACGTTTTCAAAATTGCTATGCAAGAGCTGACCTTCCACTTATTCAATGCAAAACAAGTGTGCATGTGAAAGATCAAGTGCAATGCCATACACTCACTAATTGGTTCACTTCCCAACCTTCAATGATCAATTATTTCCTTTATTCGCTGGTGAGCTTCACACATCCCCAAACTTGTTTTCTTCTATTCTCTAACCATAGTGTAATTCTAAAGTTTAGTCTTACTTATCAATTTCTCACACTACTCTAATTTGATTTAGTTCAATCGATGATGTCAATAATTTATTCATGTGATGATTCTCTCAATTTATTAGTATTTCAACAATCTAGTTTCTAAGTTCAATTTTGACTTGATCATTTTTTTTTTTTACTTCTTGACCCCTGTAGCGAGTTTTGGGTCGATAACTCCTCGATTTTTGAATACCGAAGGGTACCAGGTTTCAAGACATCCAAACGGACTTATTAACTTAAGTAAAAAAGGTGCAATCGTGAGGGTAACTGAATAAGTGCAATGCCTGTTTTCTATAAAAGAATAACAAAATTTACAAGGTTAGTAGAAAATCAAAAACACTCCACACAATCTCTTTCTTATGTACGGAATCACCATTGTCCTAAATTATTTCTTTCACTAGTTAGAATGTCCCAAATTATTATGTATATGGTTAAAGGATGTTTTGAATTATGGGTTAAGAGGTCGAGCATCTAAGTTATCTATTTAGCCTATGCATATGAACATTCATGTTCTTGTGTGACACTAAACTCAATTATAGTGCATAAATATTGTACTACTTCACATTGATAGGTAGAAAATTCAACTCTAGCATATAAATCTTCCACAATCCACAAACTAACACATGGTCTCAAGTATATTCATCATAGCTGACAAAACCATCCGACTAAGGCAAGCATGCAAAATTAAAATTTTATTTTTATTATTACTTTTTCAACGCAATTCACACAAAACTAAATAACATTACACAAACATAACTACTAAACAAAAGACAACATCAATTAACCCTAATGACTCATCCCCAAACTCAAAACATACATTGTCCCCAACGTGAAAATAAAAATAAAGGAGAGATATGACTTCTTGAATACATCAATGGGTGTCATCACCATTGCCTTGGAGAGATGGATACTAGTTGGCTGGATGATATGGGAACATCGGCTATGGAGGAAATGACATGTGGGGGGATATGCAGAGGTCGATACCGAGAAAATCTCATTCTGATATTGAAATTGTGTATGCATAGAGTTCTGCAACTACTAATATTGATTGGTCATGGATATTTGCAATTGATCAAGTTGCTATTGAAGTCCATCATGTTTCTCTTTATTCCTCGTTTCCAACTCTTCTTGTCTTTGAGATAGCTGCAATTGCATAACCTCAATTCGACCAATAATGTCATCAGTTTGTTAAACTGATATAATACCTCAGATTTTAATTATATTTTTATATGGGCTAAATCTAATGTTGGTCATTTAGCAGATGAAACAGTCCATGCCAGCCTTATTGTCATACTAAAGTCCAAAAGTAGAAGCAATAAATGCGAGCCACTTATTTTTAATTAAATGATTAATTTTGTTTATGTGTACTTTTTAGAATTTATCGTAAATTATTTGGGTCGAATAATTGAGTATTCTAGTAGTTGATAAAAAAAAAATATCGATATTATACTCATTTTGTAGCTTGTGTAAAATAACATAAATTGGTTCGAGAAGAAATAATTTTGGGCTAATCATATCATAGTTATTTTGACAGAAAAAATATTCTAAAAACTATATTTTATTATAAAAAATATATTTACATAAAAAAATATATAAATAAATGAAAGAAAACTTCACAGTACAATTTCTTAGGAAATTTGAAACGGTGCATATTCATTCAATTATATAATAAATAAGTAATTATTATTTTTGAATTCCACAAACTAACGTGATTAATTGGAAATAAAAACTATATTAATTGACCAATTGATTTACAGACTTAACTTTTCGTACGTTTGAAATTTACAGATATTTTACATGATTTATAGGCATGCAAGTAGACACGGCGTATATATATAATGTATGCAATAATTTTATTTCCTTTACCATGCATATGATATTCACATATTAACACATATACTTGCTGAAAAAGAGTTTTATTTTATCTACCAGCCCCAATAAAAATTTCACAAGTTGGTTCTTATTTTCCCACAAATATTCTGTCCATTTTTTTGTCTCAAAGGAATACTTCAAAATTTTTTATATCATTTGAGGTAAGAATACATCATGCAAAATAGTAAATTCTAATTTTTTTATGTTTATATAAATTTTGGCATGAAATACTATGAGGCCTTCGGGTTGAATTCTATGTTAAATCTTTCGAGATAGACAGTTAGGTCAAATATGTTATATCCTACGGGATGGACCTTCGGGTCAATTATTTTAAATCCTACGGGATATGTGAATTCTTAAGAAAAGGAGGAATCCGTCCGAGGAGGGGCTTGCATCTGATTAGCTAGTTGGTGAGGTAATAGCTTACCAATGCAATGATCAGTAGCTGGTCCAATCCACTCACTATCATTATTAACTAATAATAAGTGTGAAAAATGATTTTCTAATCGAATGGATTCAGTCTTATACATACGCAAGCTCTAAATCCAAGAAATGTCAGTATGTGATGTCAGTTTTGTATTTATATCATGTTAATAAGAATGTGCACGTATTCTTACTGATTGTTTTTCAAAATACTCATTTTTCTAATAACTTTTCAGATGAGAACAGGTCGTGTGGACGAGTGAAAGATTGACCAAGTGATGCTTATGGGATCACTAAGTACAGTTTTCAGAAAATATAATTGTCAACTTTTATTTGAATAATACTTTATGTTAATGTACATTATTTAATATTTTTAGAGATCTAGTATTCGACATTTTATATTAAATCTTAAATTAATAGTTTGGAATGGAGTATGTCAATAATTATATTTAATATGAAAATTTTACTTAAGTTGTTATTTTATCGTTATCGAATTATCGATCACAATTTCAAATTTCAACACTTAATAAAAGTGATATTTTCGCTTAAATTAGATAACCTCAAGCCTATTTTTATAAAGAAATAAAATAATAAAGATGAAAAAGATTTCAGGGCGTAAAACTGACAAGCGGAGGGCGATTAGGGCGGGTCAGTTGTGCCTTTGTAACATGTGTTGGAACATTGGCAAAGAAGTGCCTGCTAGTGAATTGCCGAATGATCTTCTTAGTCATGGTTAGGATGAACTATCTCCTCAACTGCGGATGGATAAATTCTTCCTTTTATACATAGAGTATAAATTAGTGAAGAATATACCAGACCGACAATTATAGATCCGTTGAGTGCACGTTAGAAGTTGGTCAAAATGACCATGCCCACGTCAAGACTAAGGCCCCGCTGAATAGCATAGTTCAACAATGCCCATCCCTTCGTCACCTCACTAATATTACTACCTGACAAAAGTTTAGCACATATAAAATAATGCCAAGCTTTGCATTTAGGAAACATGCTTACAGCTGAAAAATTGGTGACATTAGTGCCCAGTCAGGTTAACTCTCGAATTATGTCTATCGGATTGATTGCCCCTCTTCATGCATTTTAAGAAGTCATCTTTATCAATATCTGCTAATCTATAGAATCGATTAATTGAGGTTCTGTCAAAACAGATCCATTTTCCTCTAACATAAACCTTCAAATCCTGGTGGTCCTTAGCACTTGCATAAAATTCACGAACCATTGGTATTAACCCTAGCTGCGGTTGCTTTATAAATAATTCCCAATTCCTGTGCTCAATCTATTCCCGCATATAAAGTTAAAGATTGGTAAAATGCTATTCTATAATTCAATTTTTTGTGAACGACCATGTTATGATATCGATTTTCGGCTTTCGCACTCACAAATGTACTGCTATCAAATGAGCTTGACGAAGAGGTTGAAGATTTTTTGTGGCATTGTGCACTTCAAAAAGCAACAATGCAATTAAGTAAATCCACCACAATTGAACCCAAAAATGTGTCACAAATCACTACAACCTTCACAAAATATGATAAAAGTTCCAAGTAACACTAGTCTCTTAACAAATCAAGTCATTAATGACCACTAAATCCCCTAACAAAGTACTGCAATTTTCTCAATAAATAGGCAAAAGTAACACATAAGTCAACAAGGAAATTAAAGTTCTTTAAGGATTTTCAACAAACACCTTGCACTCATGTCACAATTCAAATCTCGAATTTCCTTAAACTTAATCCTAAACATAAAATCAACATCTCAAGGTGTGAAAACCACAGCAATCTACTAAAACCCATAAGAAATTTCTTACTTCCATCTAATCGTCAAGTGTAATATAGTATCCAATAGCACCACACACCAAAAACAATTGTAAAAACTTGTCCTTCTATGTGTAGAAATCCCAATAAGTTGAAAGTATGTTGAGGTGTGAAATCTATGCAATGAAGGTGTTGAAGATGATGGATTTGATATTTACAAAAGAGATTTGGACGTACGAACGGGAATAAGAAGAGAAACAAATGTAGGGTTTCAGAGGGATTAGGGAAAAGCGAGATTGAAAAATAAAAAGACAAAAGGGGAGGGGTATATATATATATAGAGAAAAGAAAAAAAAAAACTAAACAAACTTAAAAAAAAATTACGCACAGAGATGTAACGCTGCGGCACCTGGGAAGTGGCGCTCTACCAATTTTATTACCTTATTCTTTGTTGAGTTTTATTGTCTCCCATCATTCGATAACTTGGTTTCCATCTCCCATTTACGCTTAGTGTTACCATCCACTTGGGATTTTTCCTACAAAATACATAGAGAATGTTACGATTCTAGCATAAATAATAACCACTAAGTTGAAAGAATATTGAGATGTAAAATATATGCAATGAAGATGTTGAAGATGATGGGTTCGATATTTATGGAAGAGATATGAAGTAGGAGAGGGCAGAAGAAGAGAAAGAAAAGTGGGGTTTGAGAGGGATTAATAAAAAGAGAGTATATATATAAATACAAATATATATAAGAGAAGAAGGAAAATAAACAAACTAAAAAAATAAAAAATTACTCAGGGCAGGGGGGTCTGTGTTGTTGCGCTGCGGCGCCCCTTTTTTACCTTATTCTTTGTTGAGTTTTATTGTCTCCCCTCATTCGATAACTTGGTTTCCATCTCCCATCCACGTTTAATGTCACCATCCATTTGGGGTTTCCTACAAATTACAAAGAGAATGTTACCATTCTAACAGAAACAATCAAAGAAACAAAACTATAACATAAAAACTACGAAATAAGTAAATGATAGAGCTTGGGGTTCCTCTCAAGGAGTATTTTTTTAAAGTCATTAGCTGAACTTTGTGTTGCTATTATTCTAGAACAGTTAGTTCAAGGCTCTCTTTAATGGTGGGAAGCTCTTCTACGTAATACTTAATGCGTTGTCTATTCACCTTGAAATTTCTCTTTGTTGGGTGGTGTAACTCAAATGTGTTGTACAAAAACACTTGGGATATTATGAAAGGTCCAGAACATCTTGATTTCAATTTTCCTAGGAATAGCTTAAGTCTGGAATTGTTCAAGAGCACTTGATCTCCCACTCTAAAAATTTAGTGTCTAATGTCTTTTCATGCCACATTTTTGTTCGTTCTTTGTAGATGGATGCATTTTCAAAGGCTTCTCTTCTGAATTCTTCCAATTTATAAAGCTGTATAATTCTTTTTTCTCAGCCTTCTCTAGGTCCATGTTCAGCTACTTCAATGCCCAATATGTTTTGTGCACAAACTCAACTGGTAGGTGACATGCTTTCCTAAATACTATTTGGTATGACGACATTCCAGGTGGTGCGATAGGCCCACAAAGCATTGTCCAAATTTTTGGACCAATCTTTTCGAGATGCATTTATCGTGAGTTTTAGAATTCTTTTCAGCTGTCTTTTCGAAGTTTCGACTTGTCCACTCGTCCAAGGGTGATAAAGTATGGCAATTCAATGTTGTACCCCATACTTATAATGCAATGCTTGGAATAATTGATTGCTGAAGTAAGATATGTTTCTTTATAAAGTCACCACCACCTCTGCATCATTGGTGGACAACGCCTTGGCTTTCACCCATTTAGCAACATAATCCACTACCAATATTAATTGTTATAGGACAATAGACAAGATCCCACAAAGTCAACTCCTCACACATAAAAAATTTTCGCCTCCAGGTTATTGTTTAGTGGCATCTTGTGACGGGCCAATATGTTACATGTTCTTTGACATTTATCACATGATTTGCAGAAACTATGGCAGTCCTTAAATAATGTTGGCCAAAAGAAACTGCATTTAAGTACATTTATTGCTGTTTTAGTGGGGCCAAAGTGTCCTCTATAAGCTGAAGAATGAACTTTGGAAAGGATAGGCTCCATCTCATCCTCTGGCACACACTTTCTAATAATTTGGTTTGTCCCTCTTTTATATAAATTTAGATTATCCCAATATAGAATTTTGCTTTATGGAGAAGCTTTTTCTTTTTGTCCACATATCTACTTGCTAAGTAGTTGACAATGTCTACATACCACATAATCTTGTCCACATGCAATAATTGTTCATCTTGAAATATCTCATTGATGTCCACTTCATTTGACTCTTTCAAATGCTCTAGCTTTGATAGGTGATCAATTTCCTAGTTTTCTATTTCTTTTTTATCTCAAATTTCAATGTCAAACTCTTCCAGTAACATAACCTATTGAATCAGCCTAGGTTTATTGTCATTCTTCTCAAACAATTATTTTAAAGCTGCATGGTTGGTATAGACTGTCACTTTTCAACCAATCAAATATGAACAAAATTGTCAAAAGCAAAAAAGCAAATACTACTTTTGGCATTTCCTTTTCAATTGTTGCATAATTAATATGAGCATATGTCAAAATTTTGCTGGCATAGTAGATGATATGCAATACATTTTCCTTGTATTGACCTAGCTTTTTTCACTAGCCTCACATATGAGTTCGAAAGATAGTTTCCAATCTGGAGCCACTATAACTAGTGCAAACTTCAAAGTATTAAAGTCATTCAAACACTCCTAAGAAAAGTTAAATGGCACATCATTCTCCAGTAGATTATACAGAGGTTTGCCAATCTTTGAAAAGTCTTGAATGAACCTTCTATAAAACACTGCATATCTCAAAAAGCTTCTGATCCTTTAACTATATTAGGTAGCTTTTTCAAAAGAATTGCACTACATTCCTCGTTCAGGTAGACAGTGTCATGTTCTTCCATCTTCCTTTTGTCGGACAAAATCTCCTTTAAGAATTTGGCATAGCTGGGCATTTGTGTTGTTGCATCTACAAAAAGGATATTTATGTATAATTTCTTGAAAATCTCTACAAATTTTGCAAACTGATTGTTTACTTCTTTTTCTACAACCGTTGAAAAAAGGGAATTGGTATCACATAAGCCTTGATTGGACTTTGTGTTCTTACTGTGGATGCTTTTTTTTCTCTCTTCCTCTTTTCTGTGATTGGTGCAGATTTTTCTTCTTTATCAGCTACTTCAACCACTACCTCTTTGTCTTTTCCATCTTCCTTTTGTCGGACAAAATCTCCTTTAAGAATTTGGCATAGCTGGGCATTTGTGTTGTTGCATCTACAAAAAGGATATTTATGTATAATTTCTTGAAAATCTCTACAAATTTTGCAAACTGATTGTTTACTTCTTTTTCTACAACCGTTGAAAAAAGGGAATTGGTATCACATAAGCCTTGATTGGACTTTGTGCTCTTACTGTGGATGCTTTTTTTTTCTCTCTTCCTCTTTTCTGTGATTGGTGCAGATTTTTCTTCTTTATCAGCTACTTCAACCACTACCTCTTTGTCTTTTTTGTCTGGTCTATTCACATGTATTTCTAGCAGTTGTAATCTACTTTTGATTGTAATAGCATGTACTTGATCCTTTGGATTAATCATTATATTGCTTGACAATGTCCTATATGGGTATTCTGCAAGCTATTGAGCTATTCGACCAATTTGTATCTCCAATTTCTTGATAGATGCCTACTGATTCTGAAAGTTCGTATCAATCTATTGAAACACCTTGTCTGTCTTTTACATATATTAGTTGAATATCTCCCCAAACTTTTTTTCTCTCTTTTTGGGCATTATTTGAACTATATCCTTGCTAATTATTTGACCATCTAAAGTTTGGGTGTTGTCTCCACCCTAGGTTATATGTTTGTGCAAATGTGTTAAGTAGTAGCCATTCTAAATGAAGTTCACTTGTTCCTCTAGAAAGCCGTAAACATGCAATTTTTCATCAGATGAGTACTTTACAGTTTTAGCATGATGGATTAACCATCACGGCATGTACTTCTTTTGTTTGTGATTTCACCAACAACTCCAACTATTTTGTCAAGGTTGCTATATTCGCATTGGTAGATGTTGTACTGTCTAATTCATATGTTTCAGCTGCTTTCAATGGTGCCACTCTTTCTGGTGAGAACATTGAATGTGTAGAGACAATCAACTCAAATAAATCTATGCACTGTCGCACTAATTTTCCTTTGAATGTTCCAACTAAGATTTTATCAACAGTGAAAGTCCAGTGTATAAATGTTGCACTTAGTTTTCAATGGTGATTTCATGATTTGGACACTTTCTTATCAGCTCTTTGAACTTGTTCCATACCTCTTGATAGCTCTCTCCATCTCCATTTTGGAAAGTTTAATTTCCAATCCGATTTTTACTACTATCGTTGCCGGAAAAGATTTGTTGTAGAAATTCCTAACCAGTTTTTCTCATGTAGGAATGGTTCCATGAGGTTTGACATCTAATCATTCCAATGCAGTATCTCGTAATGTATATGTAAATAACCACAACTTGATAGTATCTTCATTAACCTCTGCAGCATGAAAATTCTAAAATTTTTTGAGGAATTTGGAATTGTGTGTATTCAAATTTTCATGAGGTAACTCGTGGAATAAAAGGGTGTTGCTAGTAAAATTGATCCAATCTGTCATTATCTGAAAATTATTTAACTCAAAATCTGGATACACAATACTGAAATGCGTGGGTACTACTATAGGCATAAAAAACATTGAGACTAGTAGGCCTCCTTCATTGATTTCTCCTTACTTATGCTGCTAATTTGGTGGTGCCGCTACTCTTGCAACCACTTGTCCAATTTGCTGAAGAGGAATATGAATGCTTTGATTGGTAGCCATTTTATGTTGTTTTTGTTTGTATTCTTTATGTCTTCATCTAAAAGTACATTCTATTTTCGAATCAAATGGTTCAAGATCATCACCTTTGAGACAGACCATACAATGAACACCTTTCTTTTCATAAATAAAAGAAAATAAACAGATCAAATAATAGTTAAAATTAAAATAAAATGAGACTAAAAACAAATATTTCCCAGTAATGGTGCCAAAAACTTGTTGATTTTTCTCTATCGCATGTGTGTACAATATCAAACAGGTAATATAACAAACCTTTGAGTTCAAATTATCGTTCCCATGAAGACTATTCTTGAATACTTAATCGAATATTTCTAACTCTTATTTGATGAAACAAAGAAATAGTTGCGATTTATTTATTTTTGATCTAAGTACTTAAAATTAGCTAATGCACTCGAAGATTGATCTAGAATTTAAATATAAAATGGATATTAGGGCAAGACAATTTCATCTATTAATAAACTTTAAGTCTTAATTCAAGGTTCATAACCTAATGTCGTGTTCTATTGAATTCTTCTGTTGTATTCAATTTACCGCTCTCGAATTCTCATTAAGCCTATTTAACTAATTCAATTTCATATCTCTATTAGAATCAAAATTGATTAAAAGAAATATTAGTTTTAAGAATTAATCAAAGACTATAGTAATCAGTGTATGTATATCTAGTACATCAATAATCATTGAATTCAGTAATTTTGTATTGATTAGGTATGTCATTGTAACTAAGTGAATCGCAAGTTTGTGGTTTGTTGTTACGTT